TTAGCAAAGGGTCATCGCGCCACCTCCCGAGCTGGCCGCGAAGTTCCCAGTCGGTGCGGAAGCTGGTGTGGGTGGAGGGAGCGAAAGCAGTTTCATCCTCCGTTTCCATGGAAGCAGCATAAGATCCTTAGCACTCGGTGCTGAACTGAATTTCAAGGGAGGTGACTTTTTACAGGTACTTGCCGCTGAAAAATAACTTCCCTGCCAAAATATACTGAGTGCATTAGCCTGTTCTTCGTCTTCAGTGTTTATTCTGCATGAAACTTGCCAGGCAAGATCCAGAACGAGCAAGCCTAGACTTCCTGTGGAATTTTCCTGAGACCGTGTGCGGAAGCCCAGTAACCCCGGCAGCCTAGAGCCACGTCACCCAGGGAGCGCTACAAGCTGCGGCTCCCACTGGGACCAAAGGGCCATTGCCTTTGCATCTGGCCGGCTTATTGGCCACAGCAGGCTCCGTGGCAAGTCAAAAGGCGATTCCAGGGGCAGCGCATCTCAATGACATGCTCTGTGGGCGCACTGCGGCTGCTCCTGCCCGCTGGGCTGCAGGGCCAGCTGTATTCTCTGCGGTGGGTGGGAGGGAAGGCGAGCCAGCTGCACGCCCCGTGGCCAGCGGCCAAAGGAGAGCCGCCTGGCCTCCCGCGGCCTCCACGGTCTTGTCTCAGCTGGAGCTCTGCTTCCCTGAGGCCAATGATAACTGGCCTTCTTGAGGCTCCTATTAGGCCTTTGTTTTGGGACGACCAGACTGTCCAGAGGGGCGGAGAGGAGACTAGTAAAAACAAACACTCATTAAAAAGCAAAACAATATTTTTATGACACATTCTTTTTTATTAAAATTTTTTTTTCAATTAGAGGATAATTGCTTTAAATGTTGTGTCTGCTGTTGCACAAGGAGAATCGCCTGTAAGTATACCTACATCCCCTCCCTTTTGAGGCTGCCCCTGCCATCCACCCATCTAGGTCATCACAGAGCACCGAGCTAGGCTCCCCGTGCCGGACAGCAGCTTCCCACCAGGTACCTATTTTGCACATGGTAGTGGAAATGCTACTCTCTCAATTCATCCTCTTCCACCGCATTTAAAAAAAAACAAACAAAAACATGCCTACTCAACGATCAGGACTGAAGGAAATAGCACTTAAGTGTGAGCCCTGAGAGGAAAGATGCTTGATAGGTTTACAAGGAAACCCTTAGGTGTAGCACACAGATTCATGTCCAGAGGAACCCTAAGCCAGTCCTGTCACATTCTTGGCAGCTGGTGAGGTTTCATCCAGTTGTTTGGGAAAAAGTGATGTGCCTTTGGATAGACCCTTCTCTTTGTCTGGTTTCTTGGGACTGATCTCAGCAATCATCCTGAACCCCACCTTCCAAACTTCTGGGCCTGCTGTGCTTTTCTTGGGCAATTCTAGGACTGAGATGAGAAGATAAGTGTATTGAGGCTGATTTCAGGATGTTTCAGGCTTTCAAAAATTGTTTCTCAGTTGTGTTTCTTTTTAATACACATCCCTTATGGGGTATGGATTACATAAACCTACCTCTCCATGGCCTTTTTGGCTTCATTTTTTTTTTCAAAGAAGATAATGCCATGGCTTTAGTGGATACTTTTCCTGAATAGAAGTATTTTACTTTCAAGGTGTCGCCTTTTTTAGCCCAAACTCATCCACAGCTCCTCTTATCCAATACAGACTTGTCCTTGAGATTGTGGATGTCATGGTGTTCCCACCTTCTTTGANGGCAACCCACTCCAGTATTCTTAGCTGGGAAACCCCATGGACAGAGGAGCCTGATGGGCTACAGTCCATGGGGTCACAAGAGTCAGACACGACTGAGCGACCAAACCACCACCACCCACTTCCTGATGGTATTCCTTTCATGCGTTCCTTCCCAGGACTCCACGGTGAATCTTGCCCCCTTGCTCTGAGCAGATGGTACTTCCTCCAGCTTCACTGGCCTCACGGAAGCCACTCAGCACAAACTCCGCCAGCATCTCCTCAGCACCTGACGTTCTCCTTTCCTCTTTCTTCCTCCGTTTCTGTGTCTGAACACAGCTGACTGTTTCCCTCCAGGCTGCCTCTGATGCAGGCTCTTACCTTCTCCAGGGCCTCCTCTTAGCCTTTTACCCCACCGTCCAGCCTGCAGGGAACCTTTACTCCAGGCTGCTCTGCACCGGTCTCTGTTCTAGGTCCCAAGGGTGCACCTGTGATCAGGACCCAGTCCCCCACCCTCAGGGCGTCACTTATCTTTAAGGAGACCAGGCGAAGCTGAGCAAAACACACCCCTTTCTCCTGGAACCGCTCCTGTCTCCTTTGCTTTGTTAAACCTTCTTAGAACATCTTTCCATTCTTTTCACTGCCTTCCTGCGTGTGCACTCTCTGTTATTCATTCTCTAAGTCGCGTCTGACTCTACGTCCCTATGGACTGCAGCATGCCTGGTTTCCCTGCCCTTCACCATCTCCCAGAGTTTGCTCAGACTTAGGTTCATTGAGTTTGTGATGCCTCCAACCATCTTGTCCTCTGTTGTTCCCACTCTTTAACCCTTTATGATCTGGCTGCTGTGTCCAGGTCAACAGCTGGTTCCCCCAAGGTTTCTCCTGTTCTTCTGTGATGTGCTCTGGACAGCCCGTGGCATCGGCTCTGCTGACCGCTGCTCCTAGAAGCTGCACTTCCCTCTGCGCTTGTGAGGTGCTTCCTCTCCCTCATGCTCCCTCTCTGCACCGTGCCTGTTTCTTTGCTTTCTCCAATCCCTTCCTCCCGAAGGGAGGTCCCTTGGGCTGTTTATAGTCCCTTTTTTCACCTGTACGTGCTTTACCTTGGTAACCTCAGTTACTCCTACATTTTCAAGTATTAATTCATTCAGCAAATATCTGGGTGCCTTTTGCGTGCTCGGCGCTATCCTAAGTGCTGGGGGTGATGGCAGAGAATAAAGCAGGCAGGCACGCCTGGTCTCCTGGATGGAGCTTACAGTCTAGTGGGAGAGTACAGAAAATGAATAAGAAAACTAGTAAGTTGTAAATGAAGTATTGTACTATTCAGTATCACACTGTCTGAACTTTCCCTTTAAGAACTCAGGAACTGAAAAGATTTGGGTAAAAATTTTTTAATGAATCCTTTGGTCTAGGAACTCTTCCTGCATGTCCTCCAAAACTCAGGAATCAATTAGATTCGGATAAGATATTATACCTTGCTATCGGTTCCCTTTCAGTCTCTGAACTCAGAGACTCGAATGTTTGAACATCAAGGGATAGGTTAGATGGTGGTACGTGCTGAGAAATAAGTTACATAAAATACTTACCCAGTGCAGGGGCAGTACTGCTGGGGCTGGGGTGGGCTGGTGGTTTCTCTCTGAAAGAGTGGCCATGGAGGTCCCGCCTGAGAAAGGCAGCATTTCCATAATAACTTGACAGAGGTGAGGCCACCCAGGTGTCTGGGGAAGAGCCTGGTAGGTCAAGACCCTCTCATATTTCAAGTCTCTCCTGCCTCTTCTGCTGTCCTCATGTCTCTGACTATGGTTGGGAAAGGTCTCTGATTTTCTTTCTTTTTTTTTTTTTTGCCTATGCTGGGTATTCACTGCAGCACACAGGCTTCTCTACTTTGGCTCATGGGCTTAGTTGCTCTGTGGCACGTGGGATCTCAGTTCCCCAACCCAGGGATCGAACCTGCGTCCCCTGCATTGCAAGGTAGATTCTCAACCACTGGACCACCAGGGAAGTCTCCAGGGTCTCTGATTTTAAAGACTCTTATATTGAGCTTGGACCTCTCTGGATGATTCAGGACAGTTGCCCCCTCTTCATGTCCTTACTCTCGAAACATCTGTGATGTCCCTTTAGTCACATACGGTTCACTCACAGGGTCCAGGCCTTAGACTGGAGACACCTTTACTCCCCACCACACATGCTCATTCCCACGCCTTTCCAAGTGGCTTTCCACTTTCTTTACTCCAACCTCCCCTCCAACTATTCTCCTTCTGTAACTGATACTCTACTCAAATACTCGAGAAGATTTCCAGTTCTGCATGTCTCTGTATGTATTATTTCTTCCGCCCAGAATGCTAGCTCTGCTTACTGCACTCCTGTCTCCCAAAGTCTCCCCACCTCCCTCCCTTCCCTCTTAATTACCTTCTCCCTCTGCCTCCCCATCAGTGAATCCACCCTTATTCGAGCCACCACTGCCACCCAACACCAGCCCACAAACATTCACTGACTCCACACTGGGTCCCAGACGCCGAGCATACAGAAATAAATCCTAATGGTTTAGCGAGGTGAGGGAAAGCCCAGGCACAGAGCAGGACCAGAGCACAGGGAACAAGTCCGCCTTTCCTGGGCGTGTTCCAATCTGCCTTTCATTTGCTATTCTTTACTTTGCTGTTAGAACTCCTTAACCCACTTTTGTACTTCTTCAAGCACGAAACCATATTTTGCCATATATTTGACTCTGCTGAATATTTGTCTTATTCTGTAGGATAGAAGACCTCTGAAGAGAGGTTCCATGTCTTTCCTTTTCCTTTTCCTTTATATATCACAATCATCTAGAAGTCCCTGGCACCTGGTAGGTGCTCAATCCATTTTAATTGATTTGAAACTGGTTTTTAACTCCTCCTATCACACTTTGCATGTTTTGAGAGCCAGAAATGCGTTGTTTGGATCTTTCATGAGCCAAGGCAGTGACTTACACCTCGTGGTTCTTTCACAGCTGTTGGGTTGGGTTGATCCCACCAGTTGTGTGTGTGCCTGTTCCCCTGTTCCCCTGTTCAGCAGCCTTCTTCTGATGTGGAAATCACCCATTTCTGGTCTGTGTTGGTTCCTGGGCTATATGAATGAATAAGCTCAATGGTGCTGAATTCTGAAATGCTGGTTTTGGTTTCTGTTGCTTTCCCTTTTGGCCAAACTCCCCATCACTTGTTTGTTCTTGTCTTCATTACCATGGCTGTAAGCTTGGATATGAACCACCTAGAAAAAATATCCCTTTCTTCTGGACATTCTCTGTGCTTGTTTGTCCCCTTCCACAGAGCTAAGTGGGGATGGATGCTGGGTAAGAGTGTAGGTGGGGGTGGAATGGGGCCGGCAGCCTTTCTGCCCCTCACGTGTTGCAGAGGGGTATCAATATTCCTAGGTTCTCAGGGCCCTGCACATGGCGGGGAAGCCTCCTTGCCTGGCCAGAGGGCCTTTGGCTTTCTGCTAGCCAGCCAGCAGCCTCTCTGTCTTCTCCTGCCCTTGGAAAGTCTTAGAAAGGAATGCAAGGCCTGACCCACACCCGAGCTTCTCACCTAGGCCCACGCAGGAGCTCCAGGCAGTGTCCACCTACTTTTCCCCTGACTGTCTCTGTCTGTTTCTCTGAACAGAAAACTTAGGCCACGGCAACTTCACGTACATGTCAGCAGTGTGCTGGCTCTTCGGGCGTTTCCTGTATGACGCCCTGCGGTATCCTGTGGGGCTGCTCTCCTCCTCGTGGAACGGGACACCCATCGAAGCCTGGTCGTCCAGAAGGTCCCTTGAAGCCTGTGGGGTCCCGAGGTCAGGGTAAGAAAGCGTCCTCCGGTCCAGGAGAAAGCCTGCCAGGAAATTCTGTGAGAGAGAAGGATCACGGTCTCCTTGGGGAAGTTAAATATGAGCTAATGTACAGATATGTGTTAAATGTATGTGACTTATTCAGGTGTTATTTTCACTGTCATCACCACCAGAGTCATTTGAAAATATGTCAAGAAGTAATTATGACCCTTTTCCTTAATAATAGGGATAGCTAATTTTTTAAGTTGTTTTTTTAATTTCTTTCTTTAATCAGATATTTTTAACTTTTTGTATTGGGATATAGCCGGTTAACAGATACTATTGTGATGGCTTTAGGTAGATAGGAAAGGGACTCAGTATACGTGTATCTGTTCTCCCCCAAACTCCCCCCGTGTCCAGGCTGCTTCATAACGTTGAGCCGAGTTCCTTGTGCTATGCTGTGCTGATTATCCATTTTAAATACAGCAGTGTGTATACGTCCATCCCAAACTCCCTAACTATCAATAGGGATAAGTTAATACTTAATAGAAGCTTTCTAAATGCCAGATACTGTCATAAGCACTTTATATAGTATTAACTCATTTAATGCAACACTCTCTTGAAGTGTAGGTACTATTAACACATGAGGATAAAGGGACTAATTGGGAGAGAGGTTTGGTGACTTGCTTGGGAACACGACTAGTAAGTGATGGAGTCTGGTGTCAGTGCTCTTAACCGCTGTGAGAATAAACACAGTCTAACAGTTTGGAAGAACACGGTATCCATGTCATCAGAAAAAGGTACTGGAAGACTGATGGTGAAAGCATGCTCAGGAAAAGCTGGATCAGGAAGAAGAGTGGGTCGGGGCAGAGGGAGAGAAGAGGCTCGTTGGTAACTTCTTGACGCTGATGTTGCCATAGAGATGGACAGTACATGAGCTGCTTTCACAGAACTTGTCTCATCAGTTCTGGCAAGAGCATGCATTTGAGCTCCTGGTGTGTCTTGGGTAAAGGCCTGCCTGCTGGGGAGTAAAGTCATCCTGCTTTGGAACAGAAAAATTACTCTCAGTAGAGGTGGAAGAATCTAAAGCCAGGCTTCCCAGACCTCAGGGGGCACGGCAGGGACAATACTAAGGGGCCATGGGGGTTCTCACACGCCGCCGCTCCAAGAGAAATTCACACAAGAATTCCATAGAGACAACTTAAGGCCATGTTCCAAGTCATCAGAAAACGTGCCCTCTGACCTGGCCATCTCATTTCTGGGAATTTAGCTTAAGGAAATAATGAAGACTGTATGTAATGATTCAGCTCTCAGGAAGGTAATCATGGCATTGCTTATAAAAGCAAAGAACTTAACCTCAGTGTCCATTCAGTGAGTGCTGGTTAAGCACACTTCTTGCCTGTGTGATAGACTCATTAACACCTGCCTGCTCTGCCCCCCGCCCCCGACCCTGGTCTCAATCCCTAGATGGAAACGGGGGTGGTGCCACTGAACTCCCAGAGAGTCGACTGACACATGTTTTCATGGAAACAGAGTGGTTGACTTGAACTCTGAGCTGCTTTCATCAGGGGTTTGCCCCAAGTGAAGCTGGATAGATACCTAGCTCAGGGATTGTCATGGGATCAGTCACTGGTTCTCTCCTGACACTTGTGTGTCTTCCTCATTTTAGGTCCATGCCATCTGACCTTCAGTTTGGTCCGAGTGCACACTCTGTTCTCTGGAATGCCATGATCCATCCACTCCGTAACATGACACTGAAGGGGGTGATATGGTACCAGGGTGAGTGTTCAGTTTCCTGGTTTTCCATCGTATCGGTTAGCTGTTGCCACATAACAAACCACCCTGGAACCTAGTGACTGCAAACCATTGTAATTTTATTTGCCTCCCTATTCTTTGAGTTAGCAGGGTAGTGTTTCTGTCGGGGCTGCTTTGGCTCATTTCTGCTGGGATCTCCTATGTGTGTTTGGCAGCCTGGCAGGTTGTCTGGTGGCTGGATGACCTAGGATGGCCTCTACCTCATGTCTGTTGACTGGGGCTCCTGGTTCTCATGTGGCCTCTCATCCTTCAACAAGCTGTGATAGTGATGGTTTATTGCTCAGTTGTATCTGGCTCCTTGTGACTCCATGTTGCTCACCAGCCTCCTCTGTCCATGGGATTCTCCAGGCAAGAATACTGGAGTGGGTTGCCATTTCCTCCTCCAGGGCATCTTTCCGACCCAGGGATTGAACCCTGGTCTCCTGCATTGCAGGTGGATTCTTAACTGACTGAGCCACCACGGAAGATCTTCAGCAAGCTAGTTCAGTCTTATTTATCATTTACATGGCAGTGTCAGGCTTCCAAGTGTATCAGGAGAGAACAAACTCCAGAGCCCATTTGCTCTTGCAATCATGTTTGCTGATGGCCCATTGGCCAGAGCAAGCCCAAGGCCAGTCCAGGGGGACCTCAGGATAGAGGCTTGGGAGCAATGTGGGGGCATCTTGCATCTACCCCAACTCCCTCTCACAGTTTGGACTGTTTTCAGGGGAGTCCAATGTAAACTTTAACAGGGACTTGTACAATTGTACATTCCCTCTGCTCATTGACGACTGGCGCCAGACCTTCCACGATGGCTCCCAGGGGCAGACAGAGCGCTTCTTCCCATTTGGATTTGTCCAGGTAGGTGCTGAGAGGAAGAGGGTTTGTGGGCTTTGGTGGGGGGAGGTGCTGCTGAGACCTCTTCCCTGGAATCCATGTTCCTTTTTTTTTTGCCCTCATCGCCTGCCTGCTGATCAAAAACTGAACGTAGCTTAATTCATCTCAGCTCACTGACAGGACAATTAAATCTTAAAATAATTAATAAGTAACCAGTATTTGGGCTTCCCAGGTAGCTCAGTGGTAAAGAATCTGCCTGCAATGCAGGAGATGTTGTTTGGGTCCGGAAGATCCCCTGGAGAAGGAAATGGCTATCCACTCTAGTGTTCTTACCTGGGAAATCCCATGGAGAGAGGAGCCTGGGCTCCCGTGGGCTACAGTCCATGGGGTTGCAAAGAGTCAGACACGACAGAAGCAACTTAGCACGCACAAAACCAAGTTCTTGAGTGCCTCACCTAGCCTGGTCACACGACCCCTCCAGGACCTAGACGCCCTAGCGGGGCAGTAGTTCTGACTTTTCTGGAACATAGGAATTCAACAAGTAAGGTGTGACAAAAACGAGGCCCACCTCACAGCATAGGCACGGAACAGGCGTTAGTATTTGAGTTGGACACCCCTGTCTGTAGGCGTCTGCCTCTGGTAGCCCACAGATGCTTCCCTCTCACCATCCCCCCTGGCCTCCCCCCGCCCCGTTCCTCTACCCTGCCCGAGTTCACAGGCCTTTTTTTGGGTAAAAGATTTTTATAGACCTGATTTCCACTTATAATTACGTTACAATCATTTCCTTTCTCCTTTCTTACATTTGTTTTGACTTTGAACAAGAATATTCTGCTCATTATTTTCAAAATAGCAACGCCTGTCACCACTTCTGTATTACTGTTGGTAGAAACTACATTTGGTGCTTGGAGGTACTTTTTTTGCCTCTCAGCCTGTGTACATGGTGGTTGGAATGTGACTTCAATCAATTCAGGCCAAAAATACGTTTACGTGTCTATTATATGCCACAAACTGTGTGAGCTACTAGAAATATACAGCAGGAAGCAGAGAGACCTGCTCCTTGTCCTGAAGCCCTGGTTTAGCAGAAGTGCCTTAGCCTCGGGTGCCAGCTTTATCATCATCAACAGTATGTTGGTTGCTTGTGAAAAACTGGGACTATAAATGTTTAACTTCAAAGGGAACTGTCAAATACAACAGTTTAATGGTTCTAAGCATAGTCTGGGGATTTGAATCTCAGCTCTGGCACTTCCCTTAGCTGTGTGATTCGGAGTAAGACATCGAACCTCTTTGTTATTTTTAAGTATTAAATGAGCTAGTCCATGTAAAGCTTGGCACAAGTGAGAAAATGCCCGTGTTTATTATTATTAATGAGAGAAGTCAGAAAATCTGGAGGGACAGTTGGTCTGTAAAGGAAGACGAATTGGCTTGATGAAAGGGCTGCATATGAAACCATGGTGGCAGTAACTGGAGCGCACAGTTAGAGGGGGGACGCGAGCTCTGTGGGGAGGGCAGGGCTACACCACGTGTCTGCGAGTTTAATACTGATGTGTGGTCCAAGGCCTGGGGAGAGAGAGGAGCCGGAGTTCAGGACTGGACACCCTATTATTGTTGTTGTTCAGTTGCTTACTTGTGTCCAACTCTTTGTGACCCCATGGACTGCAGCACGCCAGGCTCCCCTGTCCTCCACTATCTCCTGGAGTTTGCTTAAATTCAGGTCCATTGAGTCAGTCATGCCATCCAGCCATCTCATCCTCTGTCACTCTCTTCTCCTCCTACCCTCAATCAGGATCTTTTCTGAAGAGTCAGTTCTTCACATCAGGTGGCCAGAGTATTGGAGCTTCAGCTTTAGCATCAGTCCTTCCAGAGACTATTCAGGGTTGATTTCCTTCAGGGTTGACTGGTTTGATCTTCTTGCAGTCTAAGGGGCTCTCAAGAGTCTCCCCCGGCACCACAGTTCAAAAGCATCAGTTCTTTGGCACCCAGCCTTCTTTATGGTCCAGCTCTCATGACACGACTACCGGAGTCTCGAGGGAGTATATGCTTTTTCAGAAGGATTTTGGAGGAACAGTGAACCAGACTACAAGCCACAGATGCTATTGTAAAATCCTGCAAATGCAGCCACTTTTTATATTCTTTGACTGTGACATGCCTTCTTTAGCAGCAGTGTTTCTCCTAATCCGTGCAAGTTCCCTGCTTTATCTCAGGGAAAAAACACAGGAATTTCCTGTGGGTGTAGAGTCTGCGGGCGCCCCCATGTGGTCAGTCTGTGGTAGTACAGCTGACGAAGTAGTGGGGAACGACTGCAGGAATTCTCCGCCAACTGCCATTTTGAAACAGCTTCCTCGGCTTGAGTGGCTCTTGGTAGCATTTCTCCCTCAGCCTTCAGGCTGGAACTCCCCCTAGACTCTTCCAGGGGGTTCTTGCAGGGATCCGCATCATGGCGCCCATTGGCGCACATGGCCCCACTTGCAGCCTTCTCTCTTGGGCGTTGTGTGGGAAGCAGCAGGGTTGCTGTGGATCTTTTTATTGCCACTCTCTAGTTTTCGTGACATTTCACTGCGAAGCTCCACCACCTTTTATCACTTCATGTGTCAAGGCCAATTTGCATAGGAGAGTTTAATAAGAATCAGTGGTGGGGAAAATGTTCTCTTTCTTTCAGTGGGAGAAACCACACGACCAGCAGGCAACAGGGCATGGCTGCTGGAACGTGCGAAGGACTGGGGTCTTTGATGAAGTCTGCTATGTGTTCAAGGGTAGATGCTGAAGCTGAAGCTCCAATACTTTGGCCACCTGATGTGAAGAGCCGGCTCTTTGGAAAAGACCCGGATGCTGGAAAAGCTTGAAGGCAAAAGGAGAAGGGGGTGATTGAGGATGAGATGGTTAGAAAGCATCACTGACTCAATGGACATGAATTTGACCAAACTCTGGGAGATAGTGGAGGACAGAGGAGCCTGGCATGCTGATTGAAACAGCTTCCTCGGCTTGAGTGGCTCTTGGTAGCATTTCTCCCTCAGCCTTCAGGCTGGAACTCCCCCTAGACTCTTCCAGGGGGTTCTTGCAGGGATCCGCCTCATGGCGCCCATTGGCGCACATGGCCCCACTTGCAGCCTTCTCTCTTGGGTGTTGTGTGGGAAGCAGCAGGGTTACTGTGGATCTTTTTATTGCCACTCTCAAGTTTTCGTGACATTTCACTGCGAAGCTCCACCACCTTTTATCACTTCATGTGTTAAGGCCAATTTGCATAGGAGAGTTTAATAAGAATCAGTGGTGGGGAAAATGTTCTCTTTCTTTCAGTGGGAGAAACCACACGACCAACAGGCAACAGGGCATGGCTGCTGGAACGTGCGAAGGACTGGGGTCTTTGATGAAGTCTGCTATGTGCTCAAGGGTAGATGCTGAAGCTGAAGCTCCCATACTTTGGCCACCTGATGTGAAGAGCTGGCTCTTTGGAAAAGACCCGGATGCTGGAAAAGATTGAAGGCAAAAGGAGAAGGGGGTGATAGAGGATGAGATGGTTAGAAAGCATCACTGACTCAATGGACATGAATTTGACCAAACTCTGGGAGATAGTGGAGGACAGAGGAGCCTGGCATGCTGCAGTCCATGGGGTTGCAGAGTCGGACACGACTTAGCAACAAGGGCAGGGTCCCGTCCACTTCCCTACAGAGCTTTGCCCTATGTTGTACACAGATGTACAGTAGGTCAGTGACCTACGGCTTTGCAATAGATGACCTCAGAACTTTGGGGCTGTCAACAGCAGCCACTGCGTTTGCTCCTCATTCCACGGGTTGGCCAGGCAGGGAGAGGTGGTCCCCCAGAGCGGCTCAGCTCTGCTCTGGGACATTAGCCAGGCTTGCTCGTGTATCTGCAGTTGGAACTGAAGGATCCAGAATTCACGTGACTGGCCCCTCAGCTGGGAAGGCTGGGGCATGAATGCCTCTCTCCGCCTCTCTCCTCATGACCTTCCAGTTCCCAAGGCCGCTGTCTCCACGTTACTTCAGCAGGGTAGCGGCACTTCTGTTCTGTGGCCATCTCAGGGTTCTGAGAAGACAAAACCAGAAGGCAAGCACTCCTGAGGCAGAGACTCAGTAGCTGCTCACCATCACCTCAGCTGCATGATGTTTGTCAGAGCAAATCACAGGCTTAGCCCAGGTTCAGTGCAAGGAGAAATAGACTCCAGGTCTTGCTGCGAGGAGGGGACTGGAGGGGCGGAGTTCCACCCCGGCTTGTGGGATGAGCAGTTCAGCCAGGAGGGTGAGAGACTCGGTAAGAATGTGTTGGATCAGCCCGTGGGCGAGTGAGTGAAGCAGAAGCAGGGTCTGCTTGTGAAAGACTCCAGTGTAGGTTTCTTTTCAAAATTTTTTTCTTAATGTTTTTCTAGCTTTTCTGAAGTGTAGGTTTCTGATGCAGTGAAGTTCTGATGCACAGTGTCTGCTTTCTAGTTATCTTCCTATTTGTTTGATGAAGCCCTGGATGATGGACTTCCCCAGATACGTTGGCATCAGACAGCCGACTTTGGCTACGTCCCCAACCAAAGGATGCCCAACACCTTCATGGCTGCCTCCGTGGATCTCTGTGACAGGAACTCACCTTTTGGCAGGTGGGTGCTTCTCGGGCTTTGCTTGAACAGTAATATGTGTTCTCTGTGGCCTTCTCTTGATGTTCACTTGTGAGGGGGCCTAAGGAAGGGACCCTTGAAGCATGATTTATTCATCATTCACACCCTGGATGTGCTACAGTAACTAAAACCCCTCCCCACCCCTGGGCCTTGATGCCACCGAACCTTATTTTGTGTTGACACTCCATGTCCAAAGAAGGTCCACTGAGGGGTTTTGCTGTCATCATCATTCACAGATCCAGAGTGCCAGAGGCTCTGGGGGATCTGTGCTTCCACAGCTGCCTGATGGTCTCATATTCGCAGCTGGATGCTTCCACCTGAAGCAACACAAGTCTCTTCTGCTCACGTTGCACTGGCCGCTGCAAGTCCCATGGCCATGTCTATTTTTAGTAAGAGCAGGAAGTGGAATTCTACCACAGACTCAGAGGAGGACTACCGGGACGTTGGTGAACAGCCCCGATGACTGCGGCCTACTAGCTGTAGGATACCAGGGAATGTCAGTGTGACATGGAGCCCAATGCAGAGCGTCCCGATTATAGCAGGAGCTTGAATGAATATTTGTTTTTGAAAGAATGAATGTTTGTTAAGTGAACACATAAAACCTGGAGGGGGCCAAGTAATGAAAAACTGATTCAGATGAAACACTTTGAGAACTTTGAGTGCTTGCAACAGTCTTAGGAGAGCTCTCCTTGGTTAGTTCCAAAGTCTCCCCTCCCTCCTCCTCTTCCCTTATTCCTTCCTTCCAAGCCATCAGTTATTTCAGGGTTGTTGACGCATAGAAGACCGGTCTGTGGTTACAATTCACCATTTCTCTTAGGCTGACTAGCCACAGATCACTGGCTATTAGATTCAGTCTCAGCTTCTTAAAGGGTTCTTTGTATAAGAGTTCCTTTTTTTTCAAATATGACTTATTGTTGAGCCCAAACCTGAAGTTCTCTCCCTGTTCTGCGTCCTGTAGCATACACCCTCGAGATAAGCAGACGGTGGCCTACAGGCTGCACTTGGGGGCCCGTGCCTTGGCTTATGGGGAGAAGTTGATCTTTCAAGGACCACTGCCTCAGAAGATAGAACTCCTGGCCGACACGGGGCTGCTCAACCTCACGTATTCCCAGCCAATCAAGGTGCAGAGGCGTGACGACAAGATATTTGAGGTGAGAGTGCAGAAAACAATAGGGGTTCATCCTGTGTGGGGATCAGGATTTCCTCCACACCGAGGCTCATCTCTAATTATATACGAGGCAGGTCTTGGTTGGTCAGGGGCCAAGTTTATCTCAGAGTGACAAGTAAGCAGCTCTTGTTTCATTCAGTTAGAGGCAATTTTGATGGGACAAAAGCTAATTTAAAAATTAAATCAATATCAAATAAAAATATATAGACATGTTATAAATCTATTTTTATTTTATAAAAATATATAATTTTGTTTAAAATTTATAAAATAAATCGAACAATTAAATAAGTAACTTAAAATAAAAAATTATTAAAATTAATTAACAAATTAATTTAAGAGTCCATATTAAAAAGATATTCCTTTTGTATTTTCCCTCCCAGAGCAACCATTTTTGCTCAGGACAGGTAGCATTATTTGTGGGTACCTATTTGATAGGAAAGGATCCTGGCTGCAGAATATTTCCCTCATCCTTGGACATCTTTTTTTTGTCACACTACCCTACATTCTGATTTTCTTTTGAGTTTAATCTCTCTTTTAAAAGATTTAAGTGTGGTGATTTGCAGCTTAGTTTGAATTACTGTAATGGGCTTCCCTGGTAGCTCAGCTGGTAAAGAATCTGCCTGCAATGTGGGAGACCTGGGATCCATCCCTGGGTTGGGAAGATCCCTTGGAGAAGGGAAATGCTACCCATTCCAGTATTCTGGCCTGGAGAATTTCATGGACTGTAGTCTGTGGGGTTGCAAAGAGTCAGACATGGCGGGGCGACTTTCACTTTGACTGTAATGGAACTCTGTACTTGCTTCTAATACCTGGTGAGGATCATTTCACTGTGGAACTGGGGCTGTTGATGAAGCAGCTTATTTAGGAGTCTCCTAAGGTTGAGGCTTCCCTGGTGGCTCGGTGGTAAAGAATCCACCTGCCGATGCAGGAGACTCGGGTTGAATGCCTAGGTGGGGGATTCTGATCCCTAAGAGAAGGAAATGGCAACCCACTTCCAGTATTCTTGCCTGGGAAATCCCACCGACAGAGAAGCCTGGTGGGCCACAGTCCCTGCGGTCACAAAGAGTTGAACACAACTGAGCAACTCAACATCAAGGCCAGGGTGGTGGCTGGAGGCATCCCCAGGTGGAATGTTTAAATGAGTGTCTTTGGGAGTCCTGAGGCCCCAAAGGCAGTTGGGGGCAGTGAGTGAAGAGAGGGCATTGGAGGAACAATGAAAGAATGCAGAAGACAAACTGTGATTACACAAGAGTTCCTGGGGCTGTTCCTGCTCTGGAATCCCCCTGCCTCAGGTGCTTACTTACCACCTAACTCCACTTAGCTTCCCTGGATGCTGGGTTTTAGGTGAGTCCCAGCTCCCAGGAATCTGTGCATTCCGAGTTCCCCTCTGTAGTCAGCTGCTGGTAGTCTGCCTGGCCCTGGAGTCTTGAGTTGGGGCCAGGACAGATTTGAACCTTTGGGAACTGGGTATGTTAACACTCCCTTCACCAGAATTGCTTTCTGACTTGAGGACAGCTTACCATCCACAGTTCCATGTGTCCCTTCATCTTCCCCCAGCTCCACTGGGAGTCAGAGTACAGCCCAGAGGCTGGCCTGCTCACCCAGACTCCGGTCTGACTGTTCAGGGGAGCGTTTCCTAAGTGCTTTATGTCTCCATGCTGTCTTGTCTGTCTCAGTAACTTGCTGTTTTATTTCTTGATCGCAGCTATTTATCTTGTGAACTTTTATTATCGATCTGTGGCTGTGATAACCAGACCCGATTTGTCCTTGGCCAAGAGCAGCCCCCTCTCTCCCTTCAGTCTGTCTGCAGAGCAGTCCCATCTCTTGGCACATCCTCCCAGCTATCCTAACCATTCCTGTTCGTGACTCTCCTGTTTAGGTCTCCTGTTGCAGTGACCACCAGTGCAAGTGGCTTCCGGCTCCCATGGACACCTTCTCCACCCAGAGCCTGGCCCTGAACATCACGTCTTGTCAGGACACCCCAGCTGCTCTTCGGTATGCCTGGACCCCATGGCCTTGTGAATATAAGCAGTGTGCCCTGTACCACCCCACCAGTACCCTGCCAGCTCCTCCCTTCCTTGCTCTCATTACGAGCCTGAGCCCTGGCTATCGCAGCAGGACTGCTAAATAATTTCATAGCGGTGTAATCATGTCTTAGACACAAGTGTGGCTCCTTTAGATTTGGGTATTTAGGAGTTTAAATGACAACTACTGATTTTTAATGGAAATTAATCAAACTGCCTCATTGAAAGCACCCGGCTAGCACATGGCTGTTTCCATATTCTAAGATGCCAGGGTGGTAGGGAAATGGAACGCTTGCCTTATGTCCTCAGCCAGGCCAGGTATCCATATTAGACTAATTACCAACTACAAACAAGTTGAACCTGTCGTTCACTTCCTTCATTATCTGGAGTGAACAGTCTTTTGTGTTACCTCTAGACTGTGGAAACTCAGGATTGGAAGAGATTTCAAGGTCGTGGAGGCTGACTAGCATTTACGTGTTTGTTTTTTAATAAAATCTGACAAGTGGTTATCAAATTTCTGTAGAGTTTCCATTCTAAACTTCCCAACAGTTTTTCCTCACGTGGAACTGAAATGTTTCTTTTGGTACACAACAGTCTTTCAGAGAATTGAAGATGGCCCTGTTCTGTGCTAAGCCAAAACCAATTCTGTTCCTTCAGTCTAAATGATAATGTGAACATTTAAAACAAAGAAACCCCAACCACGCGCTGGGATTTTGGGAGGTGCGAAGGGACGCGCGAGGTGGAGCAGCCCGTGCGGAACCACGTGACTGCGGAGGGCGCAGAGCGGCAGACAGCGGATCGGGCTCTTGAGAGGTGAGAGGTTTAACGACGGAAATAATCCAGATGGGAGAGCAGAGAGCCTTAAAATAAAGCTACAGGATAACATTTAGAAAAATAATCCGGATGGGACAAATGTGAAAGAGGGCTTTGGTGTGTGCTGTTGAGAATCTTAATGGTGTTTACTGGCTGATTGAAAACAGCTGACGGCATTTGATAATTGTCATCTATTAAGAAGCTGGAAATAAAAGTATCATCCTGAGTCATGGGTACACACTAATCTCTAGACAAAACTGCGTTTGGAACAGGCTTGCAAACTGTCCTTTGAAGCTGAGAAAGGAGCGAGATTTATCTCGCGAGTAGTTTCCATTGTCTTAATGTGAAAAACAAGCACAGAAGCACAGGCATCACTCCCCACACCTGCCCCAAGGCGTCCTAGTGTAACTGAACAGCAGGAGTGCTTTGTTAGTAACAGGATTTTATTTAAAATTTGATTTATTTTTTAATTTTTTGGCTGTGCCACACAGCAAGCAGAATCTTAATTCCCCGACTAAGGATTGAACCCGTGCCCCCTGCAGTGCAGTCGTAACCACTGGACTACCAGGGGAGCCCCAGTACCAAGATTTTAGTTAGCAAAAACCAAAACAGCTATACAGCATGCAAGGAACTTTGGCTCCTCTGAGGACTTCTAGCGTACAATTAACTTCTCATGCTTGCACCCTGGTCTGACTCATTTGACCTCACAGAAACCACAAACCCTGCACCAACTCCTGAGAAAAAAAATGAATCTACTGTCTACCCCCATCATAGAGGCGCTCAGTAGCTGTTCTAACCTGGAAGGAGCAAGAGACGGCCAAGAGCTCTAGGCCCATGTTCCCTTCACTCCTAGTAACCTAGGGCACACCATATAACCAGTTAGGTTTAGGTAGTGGATATCTTAATGCAAAGTCATGTGAAAATTAATTTATTTTTAATGGTTGAATAACTTAAAACATTCTGCAGAAATTCAGTTTATTTTCCAACTGAAAATAATACTGTTTGAAAGTGAAATTTATGATCACAGTAGAAGACTTGGATGCTAAAGAAGAGTATAAGCAAGTAAAAATCACTCCCAAATTCATCATCTGGACACAGTGTTTTGGTGAACATCACTTGATTTGTTTGGGTCACATTTTAAATACCACTACACGGGTATATTATTTTGTAATTGGTGTTTTTGACTTATTCTAACAAAGTAACTTTCTTAGGTAAAGTGAAAAGAGATTTCATTTGCTTCAGTTTGTGGGTGCCCCATACTTTAACCAATTTGCTATTAGTGGACATAGAGGGTTTTAAACTAATACTGTGATAACTGTTACATGTCAATGTCATTCTGCACTTAATCTCTTAGGGTCCTTAATGTGGACCAACAGGTTTAAGGATAAATACATTTAACATTTTAATGCCTACAGCTTAACCCTTCCAAAGGATTCAACTGTTGACATTCCCACCAAGGCAGAGTCCCGTATTTCTGCCCTATTCTCACCAACATTGAATGTTGTCAAACTTAAATCTTTAACAATAGATGAAAAAAATTTTAGGTGTATAGCTACGACAGTGTTTTTCAAGTTATTTAAAACAATGATCCATAGTAAAAACACTTTGTATCATATATCCCCATGTGCATCATGTGAATGGGAGATAAACACCTATATACACAGTATAGTTGAATTCAACCTTTCAACATGCAATGCATTCCAGTATGTTGTCTTCTAACTTAATTTTAAAAAGACGTGGGTCTTGACTGACTGCCAAAGTTGAAACAACTAACAAGGTTGAGCTTCTAGGGAAGCTACAAATGAATACTTATTAAAGTAAACCATGCACTAACTTATGGGCTTCCCTTGTGGCTCAGCTGGTAAAGAATCCACCTGCAATGCAGAAGACCTGGGATCGATCCTTGGGTTGGGACGATCGCCTGGAGTAAGGGAAAGGCTACCCACTCCAGTATTCTGGCCTAGAGAACTCCATGAACTGTATAGTCCATGGGGTCACAAAGAGTCAGACACGACTGAGCGACTTTCACTTCATGAACTAGCTTATAAAAACTCTTTTTAATGTCTTTCTTAAAATGAAGCTCACTGTGAACTTGTGATAACTCGGGCTGTAAGAGAATGGAAAAATATAGATTATGCAGCAGATACCATTTCTGTGTTAAGTGCAAATGGGTTCTGGCATCTGATGCAGAGAAATAAGAAAAATGAAAACATGCAACAGTTTTGAGTGATCTCCTTTCTATCCCTGATTTGCTATTATCCAGATTTTATTATATTTTTGCACTGTAAAAGTTATACAAACTTGTAAGACCATAACTAAGAGTCATAAAATTAACAGTCACTTCAGCTTCTGATACGTTATGGTGGCCAGTGTGATGTGCACTGAAGGCTGCATTTGATCCGTCCCTCGGCTGTCCAGGTACAGTCCCATAAAGTGCCAGGCCCCGTTTGTTTTCTCCCTGTTAGTGGCGATGGACTGTAGCACAGTGACAACTCAGTTCTCACCACTCCTTCCCCAGCCTTCTACCTCTGGCCTCCTCTGGTTCCTTCCATTCCAGCCAGCCCTGGTTCCTGGCTGGGTGACAGTGAATCATCACACAAGGTACTATGGAGGTGAACTGGCTGGGTTTCAGTGATGGGGTAAGCCTCTACCTTAATGCTTTAAGTGGAGTCCAGAAAATTCTGTCATATAGAATGCAGTGTTATTACACGACTAATGAACTGATGGGGTGAGTCTGTTATGGAGGATGGGAACCAATCATGTTATTTGTGTTAATGTGTGGCTTCAATGTATTCAGTGGAGCCACAAAGGGGATGTAGACAAGGCTAGAGATGACTTTTTGGATCCTCTTGTGAAATGTGAAAAAGAACAGTGGGCTTTGGACTGGACCTTCCAGCTTGGGGAAGAGTAGTATCTGATTCAGATCACACCAACATGAAGATAAAGCAGCTGCAGGGGCTGAGACTTACAGTCAACGACCCAGGCTCAGAATAAGGGCGGAGGGTTGTCAGAAGGTGTAAGATTCTGATTATATCATGACAACAAGATGAAAATAAGCAGAACTGTCAACAGAAATTTATTACTAAAAATAAAACAG